AGAATATAACCAAACAACATTAGTAGTGCCCCACATCTTCTATTAAGTAAGAATTTGAGGACAATTAATGCTGAGAGCTGCAAACTCCAGAGTGATTCCTTTCTCCATCCGAGTTCAGAGACCACTGATACTGTGCAAACTAGAGATCCAAAATTCCATATAGCATTATCTTGTAAGACTATTTTGTGTTAAATTTCAAAAATGTGGAACATTTTCAAATGTAATCTAAACGTGGAAACTGTTTTTTATAAGAACTATGGTAAACCTGCTTCTAAATTAATACTGAATTAAGAATTGTTCACAATTCTGTGCGATCTTCAATTTTAAAAACTGAATAGTCTTAAAGATAAGATTAGGTGACATTTCAGGCCTCGGGAGTTCACATAAATGGTTGAGAACGTCTGTAAGAATTTCAATTGGATTCATGACCAAACAAGAGAACCAAAGTAAAATTTTTGAAAGAGCATTTCCTAAAACTCTCCTAGATTTTAAAATCGATTAAATTCAAACCTTCAAAATAGAGAGTTCAGCAAGTAAGAGATGACCAAAAGTTCAACAGATCGATATCAAACAGTCTTAAGGAAGTCACTCCTGCTATATTCTTTATTGCTAATCTGGATTTATCCAAATATTACATAGGAGTGAAGAGAATTTCAGTGTTTTACTTATTTCTATTAGGAAAACAAGAACTATAGCACCAGTCCACATGATGAGCTTTTCATACTGCATGCATTAATATATAGTATATCCCAAATATTACTGAAGATTATACATTCCTTGCAGATTCCTTCTTGTAACTATTTTTTGTTCACCAAAGGCAAAAGACGCTCATTAGTCTCAACACCCACAAGCAATTGAGATAAAAAGAAATTAACGAAAAGCAATTCCTATCTACATATTAAAGTTAATTAAACAAAGTCTAATACCATTATGTTGCAGAAATACTCAATGGGTGCACTACAATATTTCAAAATCTTGAAATTCAGTTCAGCTGAAAAATGTAAAAGACTCCTGAATTACTTGTGGATATTCTTTTCTTTCCGTGTGCAATTAAAGATGCTTCTTCCTTTTACAGAAATGATAATTTTTTTTCCCTCTGGTGTGTTGAGTTTCACAAATTGATACAAAACGCTAAATGTTACAAAGATGCCCATCTGTTAGCTCATCTTAGATGTACCACTCTCATCACTGGGTCACAAAATCGTGGGTTCAAGTCCCACAATGACATTTCAACTCACAGTCAAAGCTGACACTCCACTGCAATTCAGGGGAGCGGTACAACAAATATATAGCGCCTTTCATGTTGGGAAGACGTCCAGAGCTGGGGTTCTATTCATAATAATAATAATAATCCTTGCATTTGATATAGCGCTTTTCACATCTTCTAGACATCTCAAAGCGCTTCACAGAATATACTGTAAAGTGAATTGACTGGATATTTGTGGGCGAAATGCGGCAGCCAATTGTGTACAGCAGTGTCCCGCAAACAGTCGTGGACTGAAGTGACCAATTTTAATTTTTTTTCTTGAGGGATTATTATTAGGCGTGTGGAGTAAGGAAACTTGCCCAAGGTTTCCCCCTGCCTGGAATCAAACCCAGGTCTCTCGTTTGCGAGGCAAGTTGTCTAACCACTGAACTACAGGACTTCACAGGAGGAGTGAGGACCAAGAGGTTTGGAGCTGGGGTGGAAAAGATGACCAAAGCTGCGGTCAAAGAGGTCTTGAGCATATGGACAAGATGAAGAGACTCCGGAATGGAGGTATCAGACATCAGCAAACAATATCTTGGAGGTGGAAAAATGTAGTCTTAGTCATGGGGTATGAAGCACAATCGGTAGAGGTCAAGCAGAAAACCATTTCACTCGGAGAAACTAGAAATAGATCTGCTGAGGACAATAGTAAATATTACACTGGTTCAGCAGCCATTTCTCTTCTCAAACTGGGACTGTGGCAAAGCTGAAGTAGAATAGACAGAGGTATACTCCAAATCGAAACAGTGTGATACTGGATTTTAGGTATTGATGCCAACAATATAGAGTTCAAAATGGAAAAGTGTTAATTTCCCAACATTAGCATCTCTCACCTCATGGGCACAATAAAAAAAACACAAAAAAAACTTGAAACGTGGGCAACAGCTGGATCCTTCTGGTAATACAGGCAGCCAGGCTCACTCTCGCCTGTGAACATTCTTGTGCGCCACTGGCTTCTGCGTCTTTGAAGGAGACATTAGACCGCAGTCCCATCTGGCTGTTCAAGTGGACGTTAAAGACGTTAACTATATCAAATGTAGGATTATTATGAAGCCAGGATGAACTTTTTAATCTTAGAATTAAAATTATTCAGGCAGGAACACAAACATAGTATACCTCACAAATGTATGTTCATATACGCATGTGCATAGATGGGGGCTTGTGCTGTCGGGATGGCAATGAAGTGACAATGTTACTGGACTGGCAAACCAAAAGCCACGGTCATGACATCATTTAACTTAAAAACATTGATAATTTGTAATTAAGCTGGGACCAGGAAAAATGCCACAAGATGCCGGATTATTGTAAAAACCCAACTGGTTCACCGATGTTCTTCAGGAAAGAAATCTTCCATGCTGACTTGGTTTGGCTACAATAATTCCAGTCTCACATTATGTTATTGACTTTCAACATCCTCTAAAATGGCAGAGCAAGGACAACTCTGTTGTAAGGAAACCGCTACAAAAATATTCAATATAAGGACTACATCAGTTTAAAGAGAAGGCCCAGTGCAACAAATCCCAGAATCACCTATGTTTCAAGATGAGTGTAAAATGTAGATTTATGTACCTGCCTCTTTGCCTGTGATCTATAAACGTATAAGCCTTTCTGCCTCTATGTGTGGCTTTCTAGTCAAAAAACATGTTCACAACAATTTGTGGAGAAAGCGGACATGAGATGACATGAATAAATGTCAAGGAATATGTTCACAGTTGCTGAAGTCCAGTCCAATTAAGAACAGATGTTTTCTAGTTGGATTTACTAATGAACCAACCAGTTAGAATAAACTACTTACACTATAGTAACTACAAGAGATGCAGTGGATCCATCTGTTTTTCTAAGGTAGAATTCAACTATAATCTCATATTCGTGCCCTGCATTAGGCTGCCCCCAGTGTATAAAAATGCAAAAGCTTAACATAACTTAACATACACTGTGGAAGCTGACAGTGGACCTGGAACATCATTCTGTTACTGCCTTCTAAAGTATATTTTATTTGTTGACTGACATTGTCACTGATGTGTTCACTGTGGAATTTTCATACAGAAGTAATACATAATTCGGAATAAAACGATTAAGGTAATGCTTTCAGCAGTAATGCGAGAGGTATAAAGTCACTGACATTATGCTTTTGTGAATATTTGATATATGGCATATTATCGTCAGACTGCTACCACACGAAATGATCACCATTTTTTAAAATTTTATAACACAATCACATCATCTTTTATCCTTATTTTGGGAGTTCAAAGAGAAAATGTTCACATATCTTAGTTATATTCAATAAGAATGTGTTAAAATTGAAGTAGTGTTTTTTTATTTCAGACCATTGCAGTTAAGAGCAACAAATTACAATTTTTTGTTTTGCCAGCTGTACTGGAATATTATACTAGACAGACTATACTGGAATAGTTTATGCTGGTCGATTTTTAGTGCACTGTAAACCTCTCCTTTTTTAAAGAAGGGTCTTCCTCCTAGCAAGGATGGGAAGATGAGTGGTTAATGTAATATGTTAAGGTAACAGCTTAGAAAACGAGAATCAGTAACAGCAGCTTGGCCAATGAGATGTTAAGCATCACATTTCTTAGTCTTTTCAACAGTGGCATTTCTGAAATGTTTAAACACTGTGATCTTTGTACACATCTTCTAAATTTTCAAAATAGCTTATGGAGACTTATTGTCTGATACCAAGTGTCGCAGCATAGTCCCAGCAGATTGCCAGGCAGAAAAGGCAAAGTTTTAAAAAAAACTAATGTTCCTTTAACTGAAGGTTGCAGCTGCATTCTTGCAACAGTCACAAATAATGGATCAATACAAGACTCCCTTAAAATATTGTTATTACCTCATCTACTTCTGTATATGGTTTTGTTCTTAGCTTTTCTCCGTTCACCTTTTTTTGGTTAAACAAAACGTGCAACATACAACTGAACAAAAACGTGTTGTTTGATCAAATATCAAAAAGATCCCACATCACACACACAAATAGTGACGAGACAATAAGCTCATTTGGGGGAGGAAGAAACTGTTTTTAAGGAGCCCACTAACTGTGATATCAAAGCAACGTTCTTTGTATTTGTTCAAAAAAAACACAAGTTTCTTTGCTGCTTTATTTTATACTCACTACTACTTGAAAGCTCTGTGAAGGGATCAATGCTAACCCCCGAGGACAGCCTGTGCACAGCGAGAAAAAGTCACTCCCCCATGCTCTCTTCAGGTCAGTTCCAAGGACCGTGTTAGCAGATACGCACCAGACCCTTAACAGCGAGCTCTGCTGCTACCAGTAATTAGCTTGGACAGCTCTGGCTCCAAGAGAGGCAGCAAGGCTACATCATAATGAGCTCAGCTGGGATTAGCAGGACAGAGCAGGGAACAGAGAGAGATGAGGCCTTCTACATCACGTATGTAGTGAGGAGATCAAACGAACACGGCTGGCTGGGTTATCCCCTCACCACCTTATTCAACAAATGAAGCACAGCAGTGTGCAAAATACAGGCTAATGAAGAGCGACACCTCCAACAGATGAGAGCCATATTAATTAACACAATTCCCCCTATCACATTATACAGTTACTGTTACCACTGCTAAACTTGTCATTGCAGCTGATAGGAAGAGACTGGCTTATTTGATGAAAGAAGTTTGCCTGTTTTATCCTTGCAAGGAATTCCTCTGTGTGACATTTAAGGCACCAGAAGATCAGACGGAAGTGATATGGCTCTGCATGTGTAAATTAGCAGAAAAAAAAGCAACTTACTTTTCAGTCAATAGCTTTCTGTGTTCCCGTTTGAAATATGCCAGTTCATTCCATACAGCATCACTGTCCTCCTGCCGAAGCTGCCACGGCTCAGCACGATGTATTTTAACTTTGCTTTTATTTCTGGCAGTTAATCCAAACCAAAAACATTGAGTTATTTAAAGTTTTTTTAAAAAATTATCCCAAAGAAAAATGCTCCACTATCATTCTCTTCCTCCCATCAATTCTAATCTTTGCAGAAATTCCCAAATCTGGCAGAATCATTTTAGTTTTTCAAATTGAAATAATCTTATAAATGATTAAAAAGCAACTGGAATGTAGCAAAAAATTGTGAAAAATTATTAGAAACAACTCTACACTTTGAGTTACAGCATTTTATAAGGTCTAAAATTTAATAGCAGGCGCCTGTTGAAATATTTAACAGGTCAATTGCAAATTCCAGAAACCACGATTTAATTTTGGCATTTCAAACTAACTAGTGAAATAGACTCCTGGTTACTCTTTGCAGAAAATGTTATTGTAACACAACTGCGTGAACTTTGCATTCGACAAATAACCGCGTTTATGAGAATACTTATTGAACGTTTCCTCTTTGCATCCAATGACAATATCAAACTAACCTAAGTCCAGAATTCTATAAATTAGTCTTGGGCTGATGATCCCCAGCCAATTTCTGAAATATGCTTATGTTCCATGACCACATCCTTGATGTCAAATTAATGCAGAATTATGTGTAGCTTTTTTGTGCTGTCAAGTTATTCCACTAAGAACTTAGTAGTTACAAGGAGAGTATTGTGCCGTCTGTCTGGGCTACATGCAAACACAACCCCAGAGGTCTTTTAATCCAGCACATCACCCATTTTCCTAACAGAATGGCTGAGACTCGCAAAGTATATGGCGAGGTCTACAAACATTTTTGTTTCCCTGACAGTCTCATTAAAAAGATATGAAGAACATTCATCATTCTTCGTTGCACAGTACTCATAATGAGGTGTGGTTCTACTGTCATTTTTTCACAGAAAATTCAGGCTTTGCCAATTGCAATATACTCCTTATCGAGCCAAAATTATCCTCCTTTGGGGTTAACAGGGTCTTTTTGGAGCTGAGCTGGCTTCAAGGTGACATATTTAGCAACGGAAGGACGGAATCGAGTCAATCCTATGTGACAACCTTGCTCGTCCAGTTCTTGAGCCAGAATAAACCCCAGGCCTCCAAGACACTGCAGATCACAGACCAGTTGCTAAGCTTTTTGGAAGGACTTAAGAGATGAACCACTTACTGGGAACAGGGATTCTCTCCACTTGTATGCGCTGTGGGTGGAACCAATGGTTGAAACAGGAGATCGAGAATTGAGGTGGAATGTTCAGGCAATTTCGCCCACAAATATACAGTCAATTCACTTTACAATCTATTCTGTGAAGCGCTTTGAGATGTCGAGAAGACGTGCAAAGCACTATATCAAATGCAAGGATATTATTATATAATGAAGTATGAGTGATAGAAGGGATAGTTAATTGGAAGATAGCATGCTGACGTCTGAGCCTATAAGGAGGAGGAGAGAGCATAGGGACTGGATGCTTCTAGTGCAAGGGTCGCAAAGGGGTGGAGCTGCCAGTATCCCGAGAACTGTGCCCCACTGAATGCCACTATGGCCCGAGGCTCTGGAACTGCCTTCCTCACTCCCTTCGCCTCGCTCCCTCCCTTCCTATTTTCAGATCTCTGCTAAAGATCTTTCTTTTCGACTGCGCCTTTGGTCACCTTCCTCCCCCTCCCCCTGGCTCGGCCGCGGGATCCGTTACTGTAAAGCGCTCTGAGACGGCGTGGAGGGCGTTATATAAATCCAAGTTGTTCTTGTTACCACCATTTTAAAACTCATGGAGGCACGATTGGACAGGAAGCTTTCTGCTGCTGAAGGTGTTCAAAGACATGGCATCAGAGAGACCATCTATGTGATAAAAGAACAGCAGTGAATCCTTCAGCAGTCAGAAGTTTCCTCACCCTCACCAGTGGCTGGCTCTGGGAAAGAGAGAGTGGGGGCCAGGTTGGCATTGGGATTCAAGTCTCCTCAATTATAAGGTGACCTTTAGGAATGAGATAGAGAATTGTTTTTAATTTAGGGTGCAGTGCCTATTCTTTATAAATGAAGATTATGTTTTAGACAATTCTAAAACTAAAGTACAGAAAGAAAAGCATTTTTTAAAAAAAAGCTACCTAAGCATGGGATTGAACTAAACAATACATTTTTAACTTGGTTAATTTCGTTTTTTTTCTAGAAATTTTCATAGTTGTTCTAAGTCCTTACAAAAAGACAGTGGTTGCTTGATTTGTAGGTGAACACCCATAAAAATACACAGTCACGGCACTATGGAGTAAAACCTGTTCAGAGGTTTGACATGTCCTCTGATGTGAAAAGTGCTTTTTCAAATACAAGGATGATTATTATTATTATTGTTTTGATGCTACTTCTAACTGTAGATGGAGAAACCCCTATTATTGTAATACTAATAATCTTTGCATTTGATATAGCGCCTTTGAGACACAATCACATCTTCGAGACGTCTCAAAGTGCTTCACAGAATAAACTGTAAAGTGAATTGACTGTATATTTTGTGGGTGAAACGTGGCAGCCAATTGCGCACAGCAGTGTCCCACAAATAGTCATGGATTGAGGTTTCCAAGAAATTATTACCCCTGGAAAAGTTATCCGCCAATTGACTAACAACCGGGTTCCTACTTACTGTACGGTAAGTACTTCCCCAACATTTCACCCTGCCAGGAATTGAACCCAGGTATCTCACTTGTGAGGCGAGTGCTCCACCACTGAGCTATGGGACTCTAGATTTAACTCATTTGCAATAAGCAAAACACAGTTGATAAAACACAGAATGCCTTCTGAAACTTGAGGTGGAATACCCAAGATAATTAAATCTGAAGAAGACATTACAAATAAAGAGGTGACTGACATATTAAATTCATTAGAAAACAAGTTTGAACAGTATGACACTTAAGAAAGTGGCCAATGAAATCAGTACTGGTGGATATAATTAGAGATTCATTGGAAACTGGACCTTGCCCAAGAATTTCATAATAGGAAATGTAACAACAATTTGCAAATTGTAGCCTGAGGAATTACAGGCGCGAATCAGAAATCTGCTGCAGAAAATATTGGTCAACAGTCTGGAAAAAGAAATAATGAAGCATTTAGAGAAATATAAAATTCTAAAAGGGAGCTAAAACATTCACAGGGATCTATGCTCGGGCCAATGCTACTTACACCACAAATAAATTATTTGAAACCGGGGAACACAAACAAGCTTTCAAAGTTTCTTAACAATCAATAAAAATATGTTCAAAACAGTTACAAACTCTACAAGGGGACACAACAACAGGTCAGGAGGTGGAAGGTTAATACACAATTTCAATGTAATTACTTGAATTACTTCAATGTAAATCAATGTAACAGTTGTGAATATGTGGAATGAACATTCAAGCTGATGCCAGCAAATTAAAGAGGGAATTAAACAGCTATTTGCTAAATACATGGATTAAGGGGTGCAAAGGATATTGTGCACTGTATGTTCCTAAACAAAACCTAAAAATGAAGTGTGATTTAACTTGAACAAAGCCTGTACATTTTTTTCAATGAAGAACAACAACAAGATTACATTTGTATAGCGCCTTTTATGTTGGGAGGACGTCCCAAGGCGCAGGACAGTGTACAGGATTTCAGAACATTAATTTCTTTAGGCAAATGGTCAACATCTAATTCTGCAAAAACATTGTGGCTACAGAAACAGTAACAAGGCGCCTCACTTGATATTTCCATCCTCCAGCTCCTTCAGTTGTTCCTTCAAAGCTCTGTGGCTTGCCTGTAACATATGTAGCCGTTCCAAACGCTGGTCGTGAACTTTCTTCAACTCTTCGTTCTCTTGGCTCTAAACAGAAAATTAAAGGAAGGAATAATTATTCAAATCATTTAAAACTGATTTTGTTTGTCAATACATTAAAAACTAGGTGAAGCCTGGAAATATAAACCAAGATTTCACAAGCATAATTTCATTACACCAAAGTGGAAAGGGTGTTATTCATATACAACTGTTCAATTGGACTGGATTAAATAAGATGTGACATTACTGAAACAGAATTATTTCAGAATAGATTCTTTTGTAGATAACCTGGAGAGAAGGGTTTGCATAAAGCTCAGGGTTTGCCAAAATAATCCAAAAGCATGGCAGTATATTCAGAAAATCGACACAAAACACCAAAGAGTACATTTGAAGTGCAATGTTTACGTTTCCAAATTGATCACAGGGATAAACTTTCATTGTCCTTCCGCCATTAAACTATTCATTAAATTGGGCAGGACAATGCATACTTACATCTAAAATTGAAAAACCACCAAAAAAAATTCATTTGACGCAGCACTGATTGGTATACAAAGTTGAAACTTCTCAAAGTGCTTCATAGGTAATTGCTGTCAAACAGTAATTGTATTGGTAGGCAAATGCAACATCATATTTACTCAAAGTAGATTCCATAAACAACCGTGAAAGAAATGACCCACATTATCTGGAAGATCGTTGGGAAGGACAACAGGAGAAATTCTCTTATTTTTCTAAATACTATTATGGGATATACCATTTACTGTTGCTTTGCAAATGTGCAACCAGCATGGACAAACATGAATATCAAAAGTCAAAGGAAAAATAAAAATTTGCTTTTGGCCAATATTTCTTACCATAATATAATGGACCCACTAAATTCACTAAATAAAAGAACAATAACATGTGATATTGCATTTGAAGGTATAACATGTATAATCATTGCAACACATTATCAGTTCATTAACTGCACATTCTTGACTCAGTTATAATACAGACACCATGTCTACAGTAGATTGGTGAAAACTGGCAGCATGGCATGATATTGCCACTTCTGTTTTGCTTTCTGTTCAAACAGAGCAGAGCTCAACAGTAATCAGTACTAATCAGTTTCTAACATTAAAAATACCAAAGCTGTCACTGAACGATCTCCAAACGTTTTGAAACTTTAAACTTGAAGTTTAAAACTTTTACTTGACACTGCCTTCAATGTACAACACCCAGTATAACACAGAAGCTGTGCGAGATTATCTCCTAAAGGTACCTCTATGTTTTCCTTAAGACAAATCGTGCTCTTTTAACTGCAGTTTCTGATGATTTGATGTAAAAAAACCAGAAGAACTGGGACAATTGTGTTGCACAGCAATGATGTCAGGCAAAATGGGAAGTTAGAGCATTGTTGAAATTATCCTTTAAGCATCACCTACATACTGTCATTACACTTTACAGTAAAAATCCTATTAAGTACTTTGAGAAGTTTCAATGTGAAAAGGCACAATGTCAAATGAAAGGATTATTATTAATTCCCAGAAACGTCCAGCACTTAATGTATTCCCGACAAGAAAATCAACTTCCCTTGTAGTTTTAACTCTTGGATATTATAAACACTTAAACCATTTTTTAATCTGTGCATTAAATGTAGGCATCTTGAAGATGACATACAGGTAGAATATTAACATTGATAATGAAGAATGAGCTGGATACCTGATTGGCAAGCAAGGCCACAAATACTGAAAATGGAGTCTTACTGCTGTATATATTACATATGAAATTGTTGTATACATTAGAGATAAAACCTCAGCTGTAATTGGCAAGTAGACCAACACATAGAAATACCAGGAAGCAGTCCAACAAATATAAATATTCTACACTTAAAATATAAAAAGGTTTGATACAGAGCACCAAAACTGACATAACCAGTTTTACAAAATCAGAGATTACTGATGAAAATCGAAGTGAGAGTTTTAAAATGTATGCTTCAGGAATAAGAAGTATTTAAACTATTAAAGAAGAAATAACACTGAATTGTATCATGTTTTCTGCCATGCTTTGGAAAATGATACAGAATCCCAATGAAAACTGGTTAATTCTGCAATACCATGCTTCTTATACTGTACACTCAAGATGAAAGTGTGATTACAATTATAATAATAATCCTTGCATTCGATATAGTACCTTATCACGTCGTTGAGACATCTCAAAGCGCTTCACAGAATATACTGTAAAGTGGATTGATTGACTGTATATTTTGTGGATTGATTGACTACAACCTTTTGGCCAATCTAGATACTTAAGATTTTTTTAAAAAATCAAATAAAGCGTTAAAGTCACGACAAAAAGTTTTCTGAGAAATTGACTTCAGTTAATATGATATTTTCAACAATCAATGTCAATTAAACTTTCCATCAAACATGACTGTCATGAAGGAAATAAACTATGTGCAAAGGTAGAATGAGAATTCTGGTTTAATGTTAAATGATCTACCTTAACTATCTAATATTCTTTACAAATACCAATTAAATAGTACAATCCACATTATTAAGTTGGAAACACATACCACAAATCAGAGATAATAGGGTAACATTTGCAGTATTTCAGAATTCTTGGCAGCATTAATTAATGTCCATTTGGTGTTTCTCCCTCTTTTAGATCCAGCATCTGTATTTTGTTTTATTTGAATCAATGTTGAATATTATTAATAAAAATAATCATTCTTGCATTTAGTATAGCACTTTCAGATCGGAAGAACTCTCAAAGAGCTTCATTAGATTCACTGTAAAGTGTAATAAATGTATTTTTGCAGACTAACTCTGCAACCAATTTGCCCACAGGAATCTCCCACAACAACAACAACAACAACAACAAGATTCCATTTATAAAGCGCCTTTCACGTCAGGAGGACGTCCCAAGGCGCTGCACAGTTGGGTCACAAACATCCCTGAAGTGAACGACCAATTTTATCTGGGGGATTGTTGGCCAAGAGAAACTCCATTCTCTTTAAATTGTTTAAATACTCAAATATTTATTTTCTATGGTTGATTTGCCGAGGAGTCAAATCAGCACTCTCCATGAGCAAAAAATATTGTTTGCTGACCAAGGAGAGTTTAACCCTCAGAGCGAATCGGTTTCTGTTTTGGCCAAGGAAAAAGAGAAAAATCTAAATTAAATTATTACAAGTAGCAAACACAAGAAACACCTCACAAACCTTAAATGGCTGGGGGGGGGGGGGGGGGGATGAGAGAGAAATCATAATCTAACTGTTCGCTATTAATTCAACCCGTATGTCTGGGTCTAAAATGTGGTGATTCATACCAGAAATCATTAAGATTCAAGATTGGAAATAGTGACTTCTTCCAATAATCAAAATTAGAGGGAAATACTGGGTATGATGTCTCACCAAGCACTTTATGAGCTCAACCCAGAAAAATGGCTAACTTCCGGGTCATTAGATCACCCCGACACCGCTTTCTGTACCAAGTGCATCAATTTTCCAACTAGCATAGGTCCACAACAGACCTATGGTATAAACAAGGCAGCATTTTATTAAAGGACATTCTATATGTCACTCCTGTAATTCCGGAAGCGAAGTCCCATGGATTGATGAGACAGTTTTGTTGACTGGAAGGCCATTTACTCGTGACTCATGTATTACCAATTTCCATAACAAATCACCATAATGTGGACACAATTATAAAGCAAATTTGCCAGGCTTCAACCCATCCAGTGTCCTTTATTTGTAACATTTAAAGGCAACATTTTGTATACTCATTTTCAATCTTCTTCTGCAAATGAAACAAAAAATTACTCACACAGCCATTCGCGAATGTTGTCCTTTGCAATGACTGAGTGGGTGGAGAACTAGGGGAGGTGGGCTCAGTCAAAGGGTGTGTGTCTCACATGCTCAATGGGCAGACAACATTGCAACTAGAAATTTAAGGTACCAAAAGGCATAAATGGCGGGTAAGTTAGTTTGATCAAATCCAAATTTATATCCCAATGGAGAAGCAAAGGAAGTAGATAGACATTGATTTTCAAATTGCTTGCATAAATAATAATCCTTACATTTGATATAGCGGCTTATCATGTCTTCAAGACATCTCAAAGTGCTTCAAAGAATACACCAGCAAGAAATCAGAAATATGTTCTGCCACAAAATCTAATGAGAGAATAAAGAATGGTTGCTGCTGTACTGTACCACTAAGAGTTGGATGAAACTAATTTTGAATTGGAGGTCTATGAAATGGTTTAAGAACAAACGGTTGGGATATTACAGGATACAGATGGTACCTATAGACGGCACTACTATACAATTTGTTTACTACCTATAATGATACAACAGCCTAAATGTCTCTTGAGAATCAAAGCATCAAGTGGAAATGGAGCGCATGAAGATCTGATTCGACACTTGAAGGAGAAGATCCTTCCCGTGGGAATGAAAGAGCAGGCAGGCACCATTTCAATTTCAAGATTTTCTGAGAACCATACTTTGCAAGGCAATTAGAAGGGAATTCTGATATTGAGAGCAAGACACCTGCCGACTCTTTTGCTCATGTATAAACTTTGTACCAGTGTATGAATGTAGCGGATCCACTTGCATTTCAAACCTTTTGGTTGTGGACTAAGTATTCTATATTTGGTCTCAATTATTAAGATTCCCTATATAGGCTAGATTTAAAACAACATGTGTTTTTTTTNGGAGGCAGGGCATAGCTTACGGGCTAGACATCTTAATGCTATTGATTTGAAATACACATATAAATAAAAATCAAGATTTGCACAAATGATTCAGTCAACAGAAGCTGTCATCTGAAATTTATGCAAATATATTTGTATAATTTGCATCATCATAATGAGCTAGTATCCATTTACACAATCCATTTACCCACTCAACCATAAGGGGACACAAGCATGTATTTTTTAATTATACTTTATAATGTTTAATATTAGTAATTTATATGAAATAATTTTACATGTGTACATATTCAGTGATTACTGAAAGTTTCAGAGTATCTTTAAATTTAATTTTGTAAAATGTATAAGTCAACTAACTCAAGGCAGTGCCTCTCCTCGTTAAGGATAAAACTGTTACTGATGTATTTAAAAATGAAAACCACTGGAATGAAATGAGAACCAACCCAAAAAAAATTTAGGAACTCTAATTTATAAAAGTCTGTAGTACAGTTAAAATAATTAATGGTATGACTACTTCTTTGATGATCTAACGACCACAGACAATGTTACAGACCCAGCAAAACTGGACATTACCTTAAGTTTGACAAGTTTCTCAAGGTTTTCAAACTTGTGTTCTGATCTCTGTAGCTTCCTCAGTTCCTCTGCTTCTCTAGCACAGCTCTTTGGAGACAAAGACCTGGAACGTTTCACAGATGGATCCTACAATGCAGATAGTGAGAAAGAAAAGGACATTTAGTTTCAGTCCTGGTAATTGAGAATACTAATAATGAATTATAAAAAATCCTATATGGAATACCAAAGGAATAACAAACTGAATTATCACAGTGTTACCACTAAAGATTTCTCTGCAACTCGCTAATGAGTATATTCATTTACATTTACATTGTTTCTTCCAGAATAATGATGTCCCATCAGGGAAGACTCAAGGGTTATAGACACAGAAATGCAAGAAACCTCATTACAAACAGAAGAAACAGGCTGGTCTAATTGCTCTACGAGGGTCCAAATTTGTATATGATCTGATTATTGCAAGCAAGTGGGAAAATGTTTTTTTTTCTGGCTTTGAAATGTTTTCACCTGAAGGAGGAAGTGTAACTCGATAAGAAAGACTAAACAAACAAAATACTCAAATCTATGTCTGCAGTACCACAAACAAGAATATGTTACTATTATTGCAGTACATCATTTTAAATCCTACATCAGTAAATTACATTTACACTTATTTTTCTTCTGAATTAACAACCCAGAGATTTGAGTTAATAAAGTAGTTAAATGCCTTGTTACATATATCATTTTGCAAACACAAGTTTTTTTTTAAGATCAGACTGGTGTCTGACGCATGTGGAAATCCATCACTGCCCTTAAGAGTATCTGTACAAGACAGAATTCACATATGCGTTCCTCCTACGCATGGAAATCTCTCTGCATTTGAAATGGAATGCAGAGTTTCCCTGGAGTTATGCCCTCTACTTACAACAAATTGTACTGAGAATCTTTCACATAGGATAGTATTGGAGCACTTCACAAAGAGAGGATCATATGCCGAGCAAGAGACTAGGGGCAGAGGAAGTGGGAGGTGGCTATAAGATGCAGCCAAAGAGGAAAATTCAGTGTAAGCAAGAGTACAGATACAATTCGGAATTACCCACTTCCAGCGAGTATTAGATGCAGGTTGGCAAGAGCTTAGGGAACCTAGAATGTGCACTGCTGGAGTTCAACCAGCTAAAACAACATAGCTTGCCATTCAGCACACTGTCTGGGAAGCTTCGCACTGCTTATCCATCTTGGACCTCCCTACCCAGCAGAGCTTTGATTTGCAGGATTAACAAAAACCAGAGTGGGAATAATGACCGCCTCCAGTGACCAGTCTGCCCTCCACATCCTGTCAACTAGCCAGACTTGCTGTTCTGAAATTAGCCTTGCCTTGGAGTACTGCAGACTTGCCTGGCTCAGAAATGGGACTATCCATTTCTGGATAGCCAGTGCTATTATTTAATACAGACATGTAAAGTAAGCAGATTATAAAACTGAAACATGTACATGTTAAGACCTACATTTTGTTCTAAAATACCATAACCAAAAACTAATGAAGCATGATTTTTACAGAAATATGGTGCAGTACAATAGTAGAAAACTTAATGGCTTTCAAGAATTACATCAATGTACACTTATATACACGTTTCCATGGCAAAACGTCATTATTATTATTATAAACGTTCACAGAAATAGATTGAGAGCCTAAATAGGGTAGGAGGTACAAGACATTGGTTTTAAGGTGTTTCAAAGCACAGAGGGAGGGTGGAGGCCAGAAGGACTTGGACTGAGTCACTTTAACTTCAAATGAAATATTATTCTATACGATAAATATTTAAATTGTAACCACAGTTCTTTTACATTTAGTTTATGGTGGATTTTATTTTAAAACAGTCAAAATAACTTCAGCTGTTTAAAGTTATGTACGAGAAATTGTGGGCAAAACCAGTGCATGTCAGAAAATCAACCTTTTAATTTTTTTTGTTCACTCGCCAACCACAGTGGTAAAGTGAATCAGATGACTGCAACAACTGATTGTTCCCGGTCGCTGCATGAATTATCCCAGGAAAAGTAAAGCCAATTGCAATAAACTCCAGGCTTCAAGTCTTCATTGGTCTGAGAAAAGATGAGGTGCTGATATAAAGGAAGGCGAGTCTAAACCACATTCACACAGAAAAACAAATACTGGGAAAACAAGACCCAGCCCCAGATAACTGCACAGCGATGTAGAGAATGGGAAATATGGTATATCTAGGATTAGAAGCAATTTTCAAGGTGAACAGTACACTTTATTTTTCTTTTCATGTGTTGCCCTGGCTGTTATACGTACCTCTCCTAAAATACTGCCTTTTTAGGACTTCGCCTGTTTTGCTCCACACCAAAGGTTAAGGTAACACAACTGTAGTAAACTACAACCCTTTAAACTATCTCAAGTTTGGTGAGAATCAGCTGGTTCGTCAAGATTGTCATTTCACAAATATCCTGCAAATTCAGTCCATTAACACCTATAATTGCAGCAGAATGTTTCTGGACTCTTATCAGGGACCTCTCCCAACTGACTGGTCACAATCTTGGTTCAGGGTTATTCCATATTCTGTTCACACACTGCTCAATATAATTACCTTGAATCCTTTGTCCAGCTAATAAGTGAAACTGCCCTTTCTTTGTCAATTTACAATCCACATCAGATCTTGTCCACTCTTAGACAAGTGTCGTCAGGCAAAGTTATTCTATTTCAGGACATGTGGTCCCACTGATTTAGCTCCTTGTCCTCGACAAAGAACAACAGTATGTGTAGCCTCTGATTATTTTTTTCTGATCATTCAATCTGAGGCATTTGTATCCTACTCCACTGTATACCTGACTATCTCCTTTTAATAACAAAGGTATCTTGCATTTCTTTAAAGATTGAGCTTGGCTTGATATACAACCAAATTTGCATTGTAAAAATTATATTTAAGTGATATTTACCAACAACAACAACAAATTTATATTTATAGAGCGCCTTTCATGTCGGGAGGATGTCCCAAAGTGCTGAACAGTCAGGTGTTGGGCCCCGAGCATTGGGGAGGGATGGTGTAGGGGTAAGGGAAGGCAGAGAGGTGGGAGGGGGACCAAAGGCATGATCGAAGAGAAGGGTCTTGAGACGAGTCTTGAAAGAGGCAAGGGAGGAAGCGAGGCGAAGGGACCGTTGGATGGAGTTCCAGAGTGTGGGGGCAGAGAGGCTGAAAGCCCGGCCACTGATGGTAGGGCAGGTTGGGCGGGAGACATGGAGCAGGCCAAAGCCCATTGAACGGAGGGAGCAGGCAGACTGGTAGGGAGTCAGCAGCTCAGAGAGTGATTAATACAAAGCAATACTGTATGTACTGTTATGAAAGGATAGCATGCACAACTCCACTAGTATCACACTACACTTAGACATAACCTTCCAAATGTTTTCCACAAGAGGCGATACAGTGTTACTACTTGGAGATTGCAAAGTATTCATCCATCATTGTTAAGCGCTCTGGGACACCACCCAGCGTGGAGGCCGGATGTTGTTATTATTACTCTATGCCAGACATAGCACGTAGATGTTGAATGACATTAGGGAATTGGATTCTGCCTAAATCAAGGTACTGGCTGCCTGAGCTTTAGGTGGACAATAAATATCCTACAACACTATTCAAAAAAATGTCAATACTCCCAGGGTCCCGGCCAAAAATCATCCAGTCATTCAACTCATTAAATATAAACCATACTCATTGGCTCCCACCAGCATCTAGTCATTGCGGGCTCTGAGCTCACTCCCAGCCTCTCTGTCAAGCTCACCCAAACAATAGGCAACCTTTGAATACGGTTCCATCCACAGCTCTACCTTTCTCCCTTACATCCAATCTCCAACCAAGACTGCTTTCCTTCACCCCCATATCGCCCTCTCCGTCTCCAATACTACCTCAAAGCAAATACTGCCAAAACCCTTATCCACACCTTTATTTCCCACCTGGATTTTTCCAATGCACTCCTCACTGGCTTTCCTAGCATCCATAAATTCAAGCTTATCCAAAACTCCTCTTCTCACTACCTGCCCTGTCTGCACCACCATTGGTGGCCAAGTATTCAGATTTTATGCCCCTAACCTCTATAACGTCTTCCATCTATCTCAATCTCCCTTTTTATCTGTCTTAATGTCTTGCCTTAAAACCTCTTCAATCATTCCTATGGTCATGCCCCCTTCACCCTCTCGGTGTCTGACCCTGTAACTCTAAATAATAATAATAATCCTTGCATTTGATGTAGCGCTTTTCACGACTTCTAGACGTCTCAAAGCACTTCACAGAATATGCTGTAAAGTGAATTGACTGTGTATTTGTGGGAAAAGTGCTCCAAGACATTATCCTGCATGAACAATGCAGGATAAATATAAATGTAAGTTGTGGGATTTTGCTGTATGCATTTGTCTACAAATGGCTAATGTGTTTGTCTATAAAAAAAAGGTACCTTACACGGCAGTAATTACCTGTGAAGAGCTTTGAGATGATTCAAAATTGAAAGCACTATAAAGAAACAAGTTCTTTTTCTTATTACAAATTTCCAATCTTATCTAAATAAATCCCCAAGCAACTACATCAACACGGATTGATTTTTAAGTTGCTTTTTTTATAAAGTCCAGCATCCTGGCCTTAACCGCACTGCTGTCAATGTGCTCCAGTTAATAATTACCCTCTGTGTAAAAAAAATTTGATCTCTCAAGACTGAATCTGCCAACATACTCAAAACAAAAAGTCAAACTGCAGAGACCCTCAAAACGCAATATGCAGTACAAGTATGTGTGAATGCTTTCCTTTAAAAGTTCGGGGGGAGTGGGGTACGAGAGAAGTACAAACTTTTAAGTGACCACTTTTGATCACCCACAAAATCATTTCCGTCTCTATTTATATTTCAGCAATACAAATCAATTCAAAGGAGAAAAATCTCAAGGTGTTTTCTGCACAATATATTTTGCCGAAAACAGCATTTTTTTGCATTGAATCAATGGTCCATTTGTTACAAGCATACAAGGCAATAAATGAGGTTTCGTGCTAATTTAATATAGACTGTTTCTTACAAGCACAAGTCATTTTATTACCAAAATAATGTTGAGAAGATGAGACTGCTGTTTCCTCTGAAGTGGTAAAAATAATTTG